ATAATAATAATAATAATGATAATAATAATAATAACAATAATAATAATAATTATTATAATCATAATAATGATAATAACGACAAAAAATAGTAACAATAATAATAGTGAAAGTGATAATGATAGAAATGATAATTATAATAATGATGATAATAATAATGATAAGGATAATATTAATGATAATAATAATGATGATAACGATAATAATGCCAATAATATAATTAATATAATGATATAGATATAACAATGATAATAATGAAATAATATTGAATAATAATGATTGTGATGATAATAGTAATAGTAATAATAATGATAGTTATAATAATGGGGATGATAATAATACTAGTAATCATTACAATAACAACAATAATGATACTATCACTGCTACTACTACTACTAATAGTAATAATAATAATAATGATAATAATAATAATAATGACGATAACAGTAATGATAGCTATCAGCATTATCACTGTTATTATAAGAAAAATAAAGCAATTACAACAATAAGAATAAAAGGAATAACAGTAACAATGATAACTATACATATTCATTTTCTCTTCGTTTGATTTACTTTCGTTCTCATTGTATCCTCAAATTACCATCGATTAATCCCTAGATCACAATAATCTATCATTATGGGCCTAAATATACTTTTTTTTTTTTTTTTTTTTTTTTTTTTTTTTTTTTTTTTACAGTACTATTATATATTCCATTTACATTATCTTTTTCTACCCTGGTAATAAGAGATTAATGTTGATGCTGTTAATTATATTGGTGAATGATATTAGCCCATTCCCGACGGGCATGGTATGTACGTACATGCCATGCCCACTGTGAGTTTACTTGTTTGATTGTTTTTACGCATAGATGGCTACATTTGTACTAAGTCACCAATGATCCAGTTATGAGTACTGCCTGTCTCACCCGTGTTTGATTTACGAAAATATTTTACGTTATCTTATTTTATAACATTATATTAATTATAATGTTTACAATAAAAATAACACCATCGATATTGATAGCATTAGTTAAAAAAAAAAAACACTGTGGCTAAGCACTAGCAGAGCCATCTATGTGCAGAGACATTTCACAAAAATATGAAAAATGAGCACAGCATTTTCCCCATTTTTTATTCATTTTCCCCGGCGGCAATGGGTTAATACTAATAATGGTGATTCTTTTAATATTCATTAGTAACGATTGTTGGTCACAATATTGATAGTTATAGTAATATTAACAATATTTTTAAAATCCGTTTTCAATATTATTTCATTACAGTTGCCTCGTTATCTTAATCAACATAAACACCATCTGTCGTATCCTTATTGTTATTATTATCATCATTAATATTATTTGTTATCATCATTATCATAATAACTATTAACTATAATAATGTTAATTAGTATTGTTTCATTCAACGTGTATTTCCCTCTCGACTTCTCAATATATATCATTCAACTTTTCTTCTTTTTTTATCTATTTTTCTCTTCTTCCCCTCCTTCCTTTTGTTTCTGTGCTCTCTTTCTCTGTCTCTGTCTCTGTCTCTCTCCCCGTCTCTGTTTCTGTCTCGTCTCTCTCTCTCTCTCTCTCTCTCTCTCTGTATGTTTGTGTGTCTGTCTCTGTCTCTGTCTCTCTCTATTCTCTTCTTTTCTTTTCTCTTCTCTACTCTTCTCTTCTCTCTCACTCTCTATTCACCCTTCCCCCCCTTCCCCCCCCCTTCTCTCTCTCTCGCTTTCTCACCTCTCTCTGTCCCTCCCTCCCTTCCTCCTCCCATCCCTCCCCCCCCTCCCCATCTCTCTCTCCCTTTCTCTCATGCAATCAATATCTCAATATTCAATATGCAGCGAGGCAAAGTTTGCAAATATGGGTGTCTATGCTGGTGGTGGGGGGGTAGGGGGGGTAAGCAAGGGGGTGGAGGAGGAGGAGGAGGAGGAGGAGGAGGAGGAAAACGGGGGGGAGAAGGGCCTTTGAGGGGAGATAAGGTGAGGGGAAAGGTTAGAGGGAAGAGGGTGAGAAAGGCAGAAAGCCGAGGGGAGATGGAAGTTTGAGATAAGTTGAAATAGATAGAGGGAGAGGGAGTCTGAAGAGAGATGTGGAAGAGCAAAGGGAAGGTGGGGGGGGGGGGGGAGATAAAGAGGGAGTGATAAAGAGGACGATGGAGAGATAGAAAGACAGATAGATAAAATGATGGAGAAAGAGAGAGAGAGAGTGTGTATGTGTATGTGTGTGTGTGTGTGTGTGTGTGTGTGAGAGAGAGAGAGAGAGAGAGAGAGAGAGAGAGAGAGAGAGAGAGAGAGAGAGAGAGAGAGAAGGGGAGATGGGAAGGGGGAGAATATGAGATAGACTATAGAAGGACGACTAGGCTTAAAAAGAAATAAAAAAATGTGATGCTAATGTTATTGATGATAGTAATAACAACAATAATCATTATCATTTTTATTGCTG